ATTCGAGGAAACAGAAGCAGAAGTGGAAGGAATAGTAGGAGTAGGAGAAGAAAAAGGTAGTAGCAGTAGCAGTAGTAGTAGTAGTAGTAGTAGTAGTAGTAGCAGCAGTAGTAGTAGTAGTAGTAGTAGTTGTGGTAGAAGTAGTAGGAGCAGGAGGAGTAGGAGAAGGGAGGAAGAAAAGCGGAGCAGGACGAGACCGGAAGGATGAGGGTGGAAAAAAGAGAAGCAGAAAAGTGGAGGAGCAGAAGAGCGAGGCAGCGAAGCAGAAGAGCGAAGCAGAAGAGCGAAGCAGAAAAGCGTAAAAGCAGAGAAGAAAGCTACAAGAAAATGAAAGCAAATGCAAAACGGGCAAACAAAATCCAAGCGTGGAAAAACCGAAAACTCAAAAACCATTTCTAAACACGCCTCCACCTGATCTCTCCGCCGCGCGCAGTGAGCAGTGGACTCAAGACACGGCCGGGGCCCCCGGCGTCGCGAACATGACCCTGGCATTGCCTGCAGCTTCAAGCTGGGGCCTGGCAAAAAAAAGGCAGAGCGCACCGGCGGAGCAAGGCAGAGAACTGCGAAAACGAGGTGAATCTAATTGTCCTCCGCTCTCCTTCTCAACACATGGCCGCGCGTGCAGCAGCAGAGAGGTGAGATAGAAGGGTGCCAGCCTGGGGCATCGCTCTATACCACCTGGTTGCCTTCACTTCATGCAGGCGAGTGTACGCCATCCAGATGAGTTGCCCACGCATTTACTGCCATCGTTTGTTCGGCATGGAACTTGGATGCAGCTGATCCAAACGCATCCAGAGCTGGAGAAGTGTTTGAAATATCTGAGGATTCCGCATTGAAAGTGTACCTCCTCTTCCCCGTGAAGGATCCTGTGGCTTGACAGCTCCACAGTGGAGCGAGTGCCTCGACGGTCTCGAAACTCTGAGGTGATTGCCGTCGATGGTGGCAGCATTGTGAAGAATTCCATGGATTCGAGGGTGCCGTTCCTCGTTGTCACGTGTCCAAGTCTTCCCCTATGCCATAAGGATGACATTCATCATGGACTGAGGCTGCGGCTGCTATCAAACTCGCAAGTGCCTGCAAGGGGCGTGCGAAGTTGTTGGGAGCATCTTGACTCAACGGAAACCCACCTCGACATCTTCCATTTCCTGCAAGTCACACTCGAAGCCATCAATCTTGTGCGTCTCAAAGGAATCACCTTGGCACCAAAGACAGCCCCGATAAAATTCACAGTGCGGATGTTTCACTGCAATGCTTCTGAGTCCGGCACTCAGATCAGAGAGGTATCGCTTCAATAGATCTGCAGTCAGTCTTGCTGTCTACAACACATGGTGATCGGATGGGAACTGGATTGCATGTTGTCGCATGTCCCTGCTGCGATGACGAGCGAATCGATGCGCGACGGGATCAGAGTCGCATCAAGCAGATGCTAAAGCTCAGCTCCTAAAGGTGTCCTGATGTGAATCTGGCAGCGACCATGGCCGACGTGCAGTGGACGCCACACCGCAAAAACAGAAGCCAGTTCTCTAAGCCCTCAATGCCTTCTGACTTGCCGTGAAGGATGACCTTTCCAGAAGACTCATGGGAAGCGACGGGCGACTTGCCGAGCTCGTGGCCGAGCAGCCGGAGTCCAGAAGCCGCATGGCAGTTTCAAGGCCTGTCGAGAGGACCAGAGGACCAGCACTTTTGGCCTGAGGTCTGAGGTCGTGTCCATGTCCCTTGGTCGCACCGGTGACCAAATAAACCCGCTCTTCCAGAGGAGGCCTTGGTTTGGACTCCATGACGCCTTTGAGTCGAGTCGAAACTGAGATCCAGGCATCTCCGGGTCAACTAGCCCTGAGACGAAACCGGTATGGCTAAACTCACGCAAGCACATGGCCCTCTTTGAAGACTTGTCCTCGGCCCTCCTCCACTATTGCAGGACCTAGGAAGTATTGATTTGCATTGCGTGCATAGTGGTGCCGAGGAATCGGAGGTCGCGGCTTCGCCGGAAAGCCGGGCCGGCCTACCAGCTACCAGCCCAGTGCATCCCGGTGGATGTTCGCAGACTTGGCCCACGGCGTAAACTTGCCGATTCTCGAAGCCAGGGATCCATCGCACTCCGTTCGGGATGGCCGCGGCCATACCAGCTGCCTGACTCGACTCGGCTGGAGCACAAAGCGATCAAACCGGCGTGTGTTTTCAGGACAGTTTTGGTGCTCAAGATTTGTGAACTTTGACACAGTTTCGATGTTTACAAGGAGGCCTGCAAAAAAACCAGGAGTGCACAGCTCAGGCAGCACAAGGCAACGAATGGAGACACCTTGTCGTGGCAAGCATGACCACTGTCAGAAAAGCTGGTGACAAAGCTCTCGGGAGAGTGCTTTTGTTTGCGAGGCTGATCCTCCGCAAGACTTCGCATGATGAAAGGAGAGTGAAGGCGAAGGCACGACTCCTCTGGCTTCTAGCTGACTTGGTCTTCTGCACCTGGCAACTCCGACTTCAAGGAGGAACATTGCATCGGACGAACATTGCGTCGGACTAGTGTTTGACAGCTTGCGGACCTATACAAAGCCTTCATAACCATGCTCGCCGCCATGAGACAGTGTACAGCGCGGTCACGATCGATCAAGTTGCCCAGGTAGAGGGTCGTGGGGGGTTTAAACGGCCTGGTCTCTGTAGCCTAATCGTTGACGAGTCGAGCTAACTATGCCATGCAGCACCATTAAGACTCTGAGACGATCATGTGTGTTTTAATCGCCTGGTCAACTCGGGCCTAAATGCATCCGGTAGAACCCAGGAACGAGCAGTCCACAGCGTCCGTGCCTACTGCGACGCAGAGCACCGCGCTGTGCTGCTATGCACCCCGCAATGCCGGAAAATGTGTATACTGTTGGCCAAATCCCGCAACGACACCTAGTTCTAGAGTCGATCCAATCGTGCGTTGGTCCAGTTTTGACGCGTTTCTTCTGTTTTGTGCGGCCGCTGCAAAGCACACCTCGGTTCGGCATCGGCACATAGACATGTGTCCAAACAAGTCCTCCAACAACCAGGCAGAGCCAGCAAAGCATCCATGGATTTCGAAAGCAAGTCACAGTCACACACGAAGCCATAGGGTAGCAGCTGGTCTCGTCGTCGCTTTCTCCCCATGACTCGGTGGTCCTCCTGCTTCGCTGAAGATAACGCGCGATGCATCATCATGCAGCAACCTGCAGTCTATCCTCTGATTCCAGTGACGAGTCGAGATAGGAGATTGTGAGTTCAACACCTCCGGCATTCACGGAAGCAGACAGACAATTGATGCACCCAAGGCTCCCTCCTTTGCCCTTGAGAAGCTTGGCCTGGCTTGATGTCGACGTAGGGCTGTTGCAGAACGAAAATGCGTCCAGCGAAGTCGAACTCGATTCCACAGCTGGGCTTGCAAGAATGATTCATCAGTGCCTCGGCGAGCGGGACAAAGGCTCGGCCCACAGAGAACAGGCCAGGCCTTTTTTTAGGTTTAAGCAGCAGACCATGCGAGGAAAAATGGCGTAGCCACGGAAGGGTGGGATCAGAGAAGTTGAGAAGTGTAGAGGCTTCGCTGCACTCCAGGTAATAAGTTTCTGCTCGTCCTCGCCGGCTGCCTGTGTCAGGCACGATTGCTAGCAGACACCTGAAGACTCGTAGCAGACCCTTGTCAAACATCCACAGTATCATCACACACACACACACACACACACCGCCTCGCCAACATCACTCCCATCCAAGTCCAGCGGATTGTTGGCCAGGGACCGAATCCACGGCTCCAGCTCCCGTATTGCAGCAGTCTTGCAGGCACCGTCCTTCATGGCGTCTATCTGGAGAATGTACTGCAGCACCGGAGATATGTACTTGACACTCGTGCAGTTGGAGCAAAGCGAACCCAATAGCTTGGCATAACCCACAGGCTCGAGAAAGTGCTTTAAATCGATCGGTAGTAGCTCCAGTCCAGGCCCTAAAGCCCTCAAGGCCAGCTGACGGGAGGTCTCTGTTTCTTTTTGCAACTTGGCCTTGAATGCGGCCTGCTCAGGTTCTGCAGGCATATCGACGGCCTCCCAATAAAGCCGAGAGCAGAGAGCTCTCAGTGGTGCAGCAGCACGATCAGGGAATCTGTCCACTTCGGCTATGCACCAGCACAAGAGCTTTAGCGCCAGCATATGAAAGACACACCCCACTTTCCGGGAGTAGCGCGCAAAGAGTCGCGCAGCCTTCCGCTGACTCCTCAAACGTCCGAGTATTCGTTCATGCTCGTGCATGCAGGCAGTGCTGCAGAACAATGGTGGGACTCTCGAGAACAAGGGCTGTCCCTCCAAAATTTCAGACAAGCTCTCGTTCAGAATGTCACTATCTGCACGTCTTTGCAGACCGGTTAGCTTCTGCAATTGCCAGACTGGGCTGCCTAAGACGTGTCCACACAAGGAACAGGCCAGGCCTCTTTTGTAGCCGGGGGAAACTTGGATGATCTTTCCCAGGGACGACTCAGAGAAAATCAGAGCCGGCTGCCCGACTGGTCTCTTCGTGGCATAGAGGCCACGTCCACGTTCTGGTGTACTCCGGACCTCCAGCGACTTTCCCACCAACTCTCCCAGATAAAGATCCTCGTGCATTTCGCTTGGCTGGAGCTCCAGCAGGATGCTGCAGGGCTTGCATGGCTGCGGTGCCGAGAAGCTCAGATTACCATGAGTGCAGAGAGAATTTCAGAGTCAAGAGACTTGACATTAAGAGCTGTGAACGACAGCTACGAGTCGAGGGGAAGGAGGCAGAGCTAGTCGCCGTGTACTCCTCGGACCAACACTACGGGCATCAGGTGGATCAAGCAGGATGTGTCTAGTGCGAACATCTCGAAAGCCTGAAAGACTTTGCAATGGTCACATCGTTCCACGAGTGCTATCTCACCGAAGGCAATGCAAAATACTGTCGTACACTCGCGCGTGACTGTGCCCTAACCTCCCTGGCCGAGCAATCGTCTCACCGGTTTGCATCCTTGAGGCGCGCAACCGATCTATTCATGTTCACAACACATTGCTTACAGTGTTGTTAGGAAGGGAGTCTCTGGCGGATGGGGCGACCGCCTGCCTGAAAAATCAACCGATATGTGAGCTGTTTGGTGCCTGCCGCCACCCATGGATTTGTCAGACATCATTTGCCGACCAACCGGAAACTTGATAAAAGACAAGCCCTGCAAGCTCCTGAAGAGCTAGCTTTCGTGGCTTCGGAGTCCTCCCGAAAAGATGGCCTGCAAACTCTGCCACTTTGTGGATTTTGCAGCTGTGCTGCCTCCGTTTCATCCCACCTTTTTGAACAGGAACCCGCGAATCGCTAGCGCGAAATCGGCGATCCCTCGTAACCTGCATCTGGGGCAGACTTAGGACCACACAACCATGGTGGACCACACAAGCACGGCACAGGACTCCTTCTACTCATCTGGGAAAGGCACCCAACAGATTGAAATCGCTCTCATAAATTCGCCGAATCAAGAACGCCGCTTGCGGCCTAGGAATGGGCACCACTGGCGACCTCGAAAGCCTACATCACGACAGGCTGACTTGCAAGCAAGTCACGTGTAATGCTCTCCAACGGCATCGTTTGCACCGGTTCCATGTATGTGGTCAACAAGCGGAGGTTTCGGAGTTCGCGTCATGGAGTCGCTGCAGTTCCCGGTGGGTGCATAGAAGCAAGGCTGTCCCGTGAACGGCGTCCAGAGATTCCCGGAGAGGCTGTGCGGGCTCAGACCAGTAGAGCTCAACAAGGCAACCAAAGGCTCAAACCTGGCAAGCTAGATGTCTGACACCTTCTCCACACAATAAATGTGATGCTGTATTGCATGGTGTATGTGCAGGCTAGGCACCACCTCCACTGCTCCTCTAATCTCAGAACCATGACTTCCTTGGCCTGCCGCCAGGCACAGCCTGAAGTTTGCGAGCAGAAGTGCTTGTCCACCATGCAGGGGTCGATTCCATGAGCCTGCTACGGGCTTTCAAGCTCTCGCAGGCATGCAGCATTGGCGCTGAGCCCGTTCCAATAGTATCACAACCTCTGAACATCCCTGTTTGTCATCCTTGCCACGGAGACTGCAGGAAGCTTTCTTCGTGCCCGAACCTGTAAGTGTACCATCACCTGTGCAAGGAGATCCACCCACACCGAAAATGTTGGAGGTGCAGAAGCATTGTAGCCCATGATACCAGCGAACTTCATCCTTTCAGCGTGGTCCTTGCAGCCTAGGGAGCCAAATTTGCAGAGTCCGACAATCTTGTGCAGGTAAAGGGACAACACACGGCTGTATGGATTTCGCGCCAGCATCCAAATCCGGTCAGTCGAGCTGAGAGCGGAGTAGTCGTACTCCGAAATTCTCTTCAGCATGTCTCCAACTGATCGTGGAGCACCTGCCGCTTCACATGCAACTGCTGCAGTCTCACGATCGCTTAGCCCTCCCAAGGCTCGTCATAGCCGAACGGCCATCCATGAACCTAACCACTCTTCACGACGAGCCTCCAAAATGAAGCAAGTGCATCAACGAAGCGAAATATCGATTCCCATTTTTCTGCGGAATGCAGAGAATGATGTCGTCAAGAGGTCTTGGAAGCCGGAATCGGTGTGCGTGAAGATGCAAAGCTTCTGCGTCTCGAAGTAGGTGGTGATTCCTTCAAGTCTTCTCTAAGGCAGCTACAGTCACAGTTGCAGACACTCACGAGCCGTCCGCTGGTCAACCTATGTCAAATTGCTGTCTGGGGCAGCGGCGTCAGTGACTCGACGGAACCATAGAATTCATCGAAGAGGGCGGTCAGCGAGGCGTCGTGTGTCTGTGCATGCTGGAACGAAGAGAAGCCCACAAGCACAACAAACATCGCATGGCTCTGGCACGACTAGGTTGCCAGGGTGGATTCGCTGTGGCGAAAGGTCAGGAATGGACAGTGGTAGCAGCTGGTAGCACAGTCAAACGCGTCGGCAAGAGCATGCTGGATGCATTGATCTTTTCGGTTCACCACGCTCAAGCAGTGACTAGTCGAACGTTCAAGCGGCGAAAGCCCCAATTACCAACCTTGCGCCACACACATCTCAACAAAATCTTGAGGAAACAAGTGAACCAAAAGGCGCCGACATCTACATCTGCGAGCCGCTCGAAGTCACCATTCAACTCCTGATACGTCCCGACCCACAATCCACAACGCTCCCTAAGCCATTCACCTCCGTCTCCGTCGTGCAGCCAACTAAGTCGCAGGCAATGGATTGACAGTGACGGCAAAGATGCTGAAGCCTCAGCATGTGGGCATGACAGGCACGCGCCCATGCGCGTACTGTCACAACCGAGCAACGCCAGCCGCAGCTCCAACTTGACCAAACCTTAAGATGCAAATGTGAGATTGCAGTCTCCGCAAGTTCGTCAAACAAGTGGTCAAGAAGCCCCTGCGGACAGCTTCAACAGATTCTGATAAATGCGGCAGCCAACTTCCGAAGTGCACATCGGCGAGAAAGAATTGAGCTTCGCAACCCAATGATGGCTGCACATGTTGCTTCACCCCACGATGGCAAGCACGTTGAAGCGACAGATCCACAAAGCAAAACAGGACAACGAAGCACCTAAGGCTTCAGCAGCCTGGCGAATCCAGGCATTTGCTGTGCTGGCGGGGGTGCACAGGCACGTGAACGTAGAAGCCCCGAATGAACGTGAAGTAATCCACCGAGGCTTGGAAGTCGAGATTTTGAATCTTCCCCCTCATGTTGGGTGGTGGCGGCAATCAAAAACAAACGCATTATTTGATCCCGTTTCTCTGCTAACCCACCCACGCCCAGGTGCCCGATTTCAGCTGGCTAGAAACACGAAATCCTGAGGCAGTGCCAGCGCTTCTTGAACGGTTTAACCCCAAAAGTTGAGGCTTTTAGCTGTCTAGGCAGCTACAAGCTGCCCCTGCCCCTGCCCTCCTGCGGCTGCCCCCTACCCTTCACCGCCTCCCCCTGCCCGCAATCATGAACACAAACAGCACGTGTCAGGATGTCACAAGCAGGTACCAGGAGGTGCCTTCGTTGGCACCTGCCCTATCCAAGCTCCAGGTGCCCCCTTAAACATACTCCACACAGGCAGAAGTCTGCGAGCACGAGCACTCTATCAGAAAAAAGGGTGAGAAGCTACGCATCCGTGCAGGACAATGCGTGTCGAAAATTCTTAGACGCTTGCGTGTAAGACACTACAATTGGCTGTCCGTGCCGAAGACCTGACATTAGGACATAATCACGTCCAAATGCCAAGCTTGGGGCTTCAAAGTGGACCCCATGGACTGCAAACACTGAAACCAGTGTCGGTGCAACGTAACACAATTACATACTGCAGTCCGAAATGCTAACCCCGGGTGGTCACTCTAGCGTAGACGCCGCTGGATGTTCGTGATACTTGAGAGCCACGGGCTGGGACGAAAGCTCTATAATGGACTTGTGGAGGAGGGACTGGGACGAAAGCTAGGGCAGAGCAGCAGTGAACAAGCCGAGGCAGGCAAGCGGACTTTTTAAGGAAAAACATGCCGCCGGCCGGAGTTTTGTTGCTGATCTTGGGAGCCAAAGAAGGCACTGAAAGACAATCATGCTTGTTGCAATGCAGGAGATTGGAACAGTCACAGCACCGAACCAAGCAAGCCACTCAAAAAGAATCATGCACATCATTGATGCCCGGCCGGGCCGGCGCGGCGAGCACCATGAGCATCATTCGCGGCTCGTTTCTCCATTCCATGGCAAGCCGAAACACTCCCTTCTCATGCCCGAAAAGGAGGGGGTCTCGTCAGGCAGAAAATGCAGCTCCAGGTGCAGTCGAGCTCGGAAACCGGCACCGCTTGACAGGATTTCGCCCCACTCCCCTTGTTGCAACCTTCGGTTGATAAGAAACTCCGCTAGCCCCGGAGGCTAGCTTTCGTGACAAGGCTGATGACGTCGAACTGGGACAAGCAAACAGCATGCATCAGATTTGTTTATGTATTCTGTATTGTAAAGACACGCACTTGATGCGGACACCTAAACGTAGTGGTTTGCAGTTTGCAGACTACACTGCAGGTTTTGCTGTCTTGAGGCTCTCCCGTGGGTCCACCTCTACATCCTTCGATGCTTGCAATCTCGACCATTGTTGGGGTCGGGGCTGCAGCAGCAGCATCAGAAGAGAGCCGTTTCTCGTAAAGAAGCCCACGCAAGAATCGAAATGCAGCCAAAAAGACGGCGTCCGGGCAGCCCCGGGTGGGGGATAGCCTTTTTCAAGCGCCCCCACGCCCAGATGTCTCACGTTGCGAGGTACTTTCACCCAGGTGGACGCTGCCAGAATGGAACGAAAGGATGGCTCCAACTTAAATCTCAAACCGACAGCTGGAAGCACACGGCAGACAAGCGCGGTACCGGATCCAGATCCGACCGAAGGCTGCGCAAGCAATGGTAAGATAAGCACAGTCTGGTCGGAGTCTTGAAATCCCACACGGCTGGATAGCCGCGCAGTGCCAGGTTGGCGCTGAGTTTCAGAACGACGGGCGAAGAATGTACAACAGCTGTTGCAGTAAGCAAACTCAACGTGGAGAGCCTAGCACTCTCGCCAGCCGAGGATCGAGCTGCTCCCCAGACAATAGTGCATCCTGGCTCTGATGGCTTTAGAAAAGCATGTGGACAATTCCTTAAGGCAGGCCTAGGGCGTTCAGCCAACACTTGCAGGCATGGCCCACTGCCAAACGTAAGAGGAGGCGGCTCCTCTTGTCGGTCAAGCCTGGTCTGCTTGTGGATTGTGGAAGCTCAGGGCACAACAAGCACCCATGTTTGAGTGGTGACGCATTCCCATTCCGGCTTGACTGCCCCACCCGCCTGAATTGTTGCGGATCCTTATAAACAGCCGGATCCATGTTTGCTGCTCCCAAGAAAAGGAGCACCTGCAAAGCTACGAATTGCCACGAAGATGCGGCACAAAGCCCTCTGCCTGATCTCCCTCAAAGGGCATTCGCCCTCCAGTCCATTTTGCACCTGCACACATCACTACAAATCCCTACAACATCCCTGCAACAATCCTAGACCGAAGCAATGTATCCAAGCTCAGTCGAGTACCAGCTTTGACGTACCTGCGAGGGTTCCGCTGGAGAGGAGCATCCAGTCGGAGAACCTGCTCAATCGAAAGTCGTGTCTCGAGCTTTGAATGATTGTAGATGGTAAGGCAACCTGTAAATTGAAAAGTCGGGCGTTGAGAATCCAAGAAGTGTTGGTTGTGCATGCAAGGGCTTCACTGATGCTTGTGTCCGGGACTGATTAAATGCATTGGCATGTGGATCTGATCTTGTGCTCGTGCCAAATGCTTCAACTTGAGGTTCGGCAGTTTCGTTCAGCAGCTGAACTCTGAATCTGGGCAACAGTACGTTGGTTCAGTCATTGCAGCACTTAAACCTGGAGAGCTTCACAGAAGCAGTCCTCTTCCAAGAGGAATCTTCCACAGTAACAGAGCGTTGAGTACGGGTGTTCGACAACCGTCTTGCCGTCTTCCTGCGTGCTTCCCACCGGCTCTCGACGAGATTTGCTCCAGAGGGGCACTATGCCATGCAAGTTCCAACCGACAGTGCAGTGATCCTCAGATCTCATACTGCATGCCGGCAAAGGTTGTAACAGTGCCACGAAAAGCATGATGCTGGAAGTCGGCAAGCCATGACTGCAAGACCCGGTCAGAAGCAGGCCGCACCATGGCATTGCATATGCAAGCAAGTGGTCTGCGAGACAAAAATAGACCTGATCGGAAACGGCGAAGTGGGGAACTGCCACCAACTTCCGATAGAGCTTCGTCGCAGGAGTCCGTCCAACGCTGGTTGCCACCCAAGGAATCCCTGTGTCCGCCAGGCGACCCTGCCTCACCTCCGCACTTCAAGATTGGCCCGGATGGGGATCTTCCCCCTACCGGCCCTGCCCCGTGAAAGCCCTCCTCAAGTTTGAGGAGGGGCTTTCGCATCTTTCGCAACTTCAGAAAGTCGAGAATGACTTGCAATCATGGTGACCCACTGGCTCACCTGTTTGACTTCTATGAGAGTTGTCCCGAAGAATGTCCTCAAGTTTCGTTTACGTAGATCACCAACGGCGCGGGCAGTCAAAGAGCAAACAGAATGAGATGTTGGCAACGTCGTTGATTAGACCGGGTGACATACCGCAGTCCTAGTCTTTAACGCAAGCTACCATCGGCACGCATACTGCCACCATTTCAGCCTCCAGCAAGCTCGGCCAAGTGGTTCGCAGCAGGAGCATTCGTCGGACCGTCCCGATTGGACATAGCAGGAATCTACATGGACATGGACGACTGTTGATGACACTTTGGCAACGGTCATGGCCGATGTGGAGGCCAACATGGCAGGAGCACATCTCACGCAACATCGGCATACTCAGAACCAACGACTTGTGAATGTTGCTCTCGACCGGCCTCTTGGATGAAGCGATCTGCAGTCCCAGAGATATCCTCAGACACCTTCCAAGAAAGCGATCCAAGCCTTCAAGTCTGGATAATCCGACTCGCCGAACCTGCCGGAAGGCCTCCTTCTCTGAGGCAAGACGAAACACGAGCCTGACCGTATCCGTGAGCCTGTGTGACATCTCCACGGCTGACCCCTCTGAGATCTTCGCGAGCACAAAGCATTCGCCGACGTCATGTTCACCATCAGCTGCACCTGAGGATGTCCAAGAAGGAGCTCCCTGATGGGAGAAGGCACTGTGGCGCGGACCATGAGCGTGAGACTCTCTGCCAGGGCCAAATCACCACTTTCAACACCCTGACAGAGGTGGGAGCACGGCACAACGCAGTGTGTGATGCGAGCGACACGGAAGATGGGGGCCGGCCTCACGCAAGCCTTTCAGTAATCCATCACCGCCCTGACAGGTCGTTAGAGAAGCACTGCAGACTTGTTTGGCGTAGCCAGACCTTGACCAAAAGGGCATGAAGAAGGAGAAAATACCTGAAAAACGGTACTCATAGCACCCGTTTCTAGCGGATAGCTTGCGGCTCAAACCTCGGAACCAAAGAAAGAAGCTCTGGATTCCACCATAATCCTTAAAGGGTCAGTTTGTGACGGGCTGGACATGCTCCTGGTCGCACGGTAGCCTGAGGCATCGGGCCCATGCGCGGCCTTTTGGGAGGGAAAAAGATGGTAGCATCTGGCCTGCAACAACGCTACATCTTAACAATCGCGCCGACGGATGTCCGGTGAATGTGAGCCTGATGATGTGCCATGTACACGGAATGCCAAGCTGGAAGGCCTCAATCGTGTCTTGTCACGCAATAGAGAGAGAGAGAGAGAGCGAGAGAGCGAGCGAGCGAGCGAGCGAGATAGAGAGAGAGAGAGAGAGCGCGCGAGAGAGAGAGAGAGAGAGAGAGAGCGAGAGTGCCAAATTACAGTCACTGATTCTATCAGTGAGAGCAACCTACAGCAAGATCAATCACTTTCCCCAGTCACACACACTCGAGCATTCTTTTGTGGAACCAAGCAGTCGTCCAGTCTTGAGCCA